GCTATGCTAACTCCTCCTCTCTTGCCCACTGCGTCCTCCGGGCTCATCTGCAGACCTCCTTGCACAAGTCGCTGTGGCAGCGCTTCCGCATGGCTCACGCAGGAATSAAYRAATGGCTGGGCGCTGCCTCTTGATTTATACTTCAGAAATTCGTTGGTCTGCCCTTTGCCATCGGCCCTTGGTGCTCACAGTCCCCCTGTGGTACTTGCTGGACTGGACTGGGACTCTCTAGACCMTTCTGCTGACTGTAGGCAGTCGTACCGTCGACTCAGTGCAGTTGCACTGAGGTCCTACCTGTTGACCTTGCCACTTGTCTTCGTCTGAAAACGTGGGCCTACCTTAGACTCACCACTTGACCACTTGCCGACCTTCTAGAAGGACTAAAGCTAGGTCTCTGGACTCTACTTGGACTCCTACCTTACAGGTCTACAGTTCGAATCTCCCTACAGCCTACAACCTACGGCGACCTACTTACCACTGGCTATCGTGCAGGTTACGGGTTCAACTCCAGGGAACTGTGCAGATACTGTACACAGGTAAGCTGAGGTCAAGGGATCGACCCCTGGGATCTGCATCGGCTACTGCCAAAGGTGAAAACTGTTTCAATAGCGAATACTAGGATGATTGGCAGGGCGCTCGGGCACCCAACTTGTACCCGGATACACGTCCAGGTATCCCGCCGGGCATATGAACCTCAGCCAGGGTTCCCGGCAGCCCCAGTGCCAAAAAAAAAAAAAAAAAAAAAAAAATTGAAAATTTCAGGAAAAAAAATTAGTTGTGTAGACCTGCAATACAAACGACTTTTGGTTGAGGGTCACATCAGAATTCCTCACAGAACGGAAGATAAAAAAGAAAACAGAATCGCACGAAGGCACCCCCCTTTAAGCCCCTTAAAAACCAATTCATACCCCCCCCTCCCCCTCCCCCCTTCTTGACAGCCGGCACTCAAAAAAAGAAAGGAGCCCGGATTTGGGCTCCTCTGGCGATGCGCAGAAAACATCCACTAAAAACAGGGCACTGAAGAAAGCAGAGGTTGCAAGGGGGCAAGGAGGGAATTTGGCACTGAAGAAAGCTGAGGGTGGATGGGGGGAGGTCCCTAGCGAATGAGCTGCCAACTTACCTCGTCATGGATGAAGCGTGGAGATAAGCACCCAAAAGCAAGCCAAGGTGAAAACTTGGTAGAATAGTCTGCGCCCAGCATGCCGTTTCTTGTCTCCTTGTACACTCTTAACTTGTCCTGCAGGATCAGATAAAAAAATCAAGTCAGTTACCTGAACTTTGGCTCACCAGTTAGTCAGAAAAGCATGCTTGTTAGCCCAGCAGCTCGTCAACTTAGGATGCCACAAATGTGCCATTCATTTTCTCCTTGTAACTCTCACTTTGTCCAGCAGGATACAGTTAAAAGAAAGTCAGCTTGCCCAACAATTGCTTGGTCAACAAAAGTGCATGAGAAATGTTTTCCATTCTTCCGCTACTGAAAAACGGATGAATGTCCGGTGTCCAGCTCAGTGGCTAGAGCACCGGTTGGAAATGCGCATTGTGGTATGAGGTTGCCGGTTCAAAACTCAATTGCAGCCTTGCGCATGGACACCGGCAGGGCATTAGAATGATGCACAGCTGGACACACACCCCCTTGGGCTGACGCACGGTAAGCTTATACAGACACTGCCTGCGCACCACCCAATGGTTGTCCATGGTGTTGTATGTCGGGTCTTGATACTGTGTGGGTTGCTTGTGGCTGTTGCTCGTGGTTGTTCTGTTGATCTCCCCAGTCTGGCATATCACACACAGGGGCCGTTTTGGGTTCTTGTCCAGCCTGGCCTGTCATCTCTCCAAACAAACACATAGTTCCCTCTACATAGTACTCCACATATCTGGCCTTCGGGCACATACATCTCGCTATACAGTTACACAGATCACAAATAGCCTTCGGGCAGACACAAAAAACATGGCCCTATGGGCTCATACAAACATACATAGCCTCTGGGCACACACACATACACACAACTACGATACTGGGCTGGGGGGGTCTATCAGGTATATGACGGGGTCTACTCACACATGGCTTAGCTCTGGGGAAGGGTAGGGATATAAGTCGGTCCGGCTAGTCTGAGTTCCACCTAGCCTTGGGTAAGCTAGGGGAAGGACGGTAGGATGTGTCCGCAGGCGCTGGCCTGCCTTGCTTAGGTAATCCTGCTGGGTAAGATTGCATGAGCCTGGCATCCGAAGTTCCCGTACGGCAAGGTTCATCCGCTTCCGCTTCCACTAGGGCTGGGAGGTTGGCCCAGCCTTGGTGCTTGTCACTGCTGTCTGGTCCAAGTTGCCCTCGATATGGTTGGGTGATGGTCCTGAGTGCTGGTCACACTAAGGTAGGATAGTAGGGACAGGGGGTGCGCTGGGAGTGTTAACGTGGGGATGGGTAGGGTAGGTGGCCTATCCTGTCAGGACAACCATTGGATGCCGCTACCAGCAATCACCGCGGGTCTGGTCCTTGCCCTCTAGAACCAAAAAAAAACGGATGAGTGAGCCTTTTCTTTTTCACTTTTAACTCGGCTGTACGAGGGGGGGAAAAGTTCACTCACCGATGGTTCGCGCAGAAATTAAGTATTCCATCAAACAGACATTGTCAACCGAATGGTCGCTTAAGGTTGTTAACAAAGGGTTCTCTGCAAAGGCTCTCAAAATATTCCACACACACTGGGCCCAGTTCACGGGTTTGGTGGTGTCGTCTGCTCAATCTGGTCATACTCCGGAACTTCAATTTTCTTCCTTTTTTCTTTAGGACCTCTTAGTTACACATGTGTGAACCTCCCTTTTAGTGAGTTCCCTATTCTGCATCGCTACATCATTGTAGAAATGATACTTGTAAGAGACATTGACTGCTCTACTTCTCTTTCTGGCCTTTTTTGTACATAGCATTAGAGGATGAGGTTGTTCAGTGGAGGCAGTTCAGTAGTACAACTGCAGTTACATATTAGTGGCCACACATTGATTTACTTCAATTTCTGCTTTTCTTTCTGGCTTTCTGTACATGACATTGAGGTGAGGGAGACAGTTTAATATTACAACTGTATCATACTTCTAGTCAAATAGTGATTTGTTTCAATTTTTTGGTTTTCTTTTTCTGCCTTTTTGTGCATATCATCAAGGTGAGTGACAGTCTAGTGTTTGGGCTTGACCGATGATGTCTCGCCTTAAAACTGGACTGTGGAATTTTTGTGAAGGACGCCAGGCCCATTTGCGGACTTTGTAATATAAGGGACACCGGGCCCGGTTCCCGGTTTTGGTAAAAAAAAAAAAAAAAAAAAAGCAGGTCAGCTTGCCCAACAATTGCTTGGTCAACAGAAGTGCATGAGAAAGGTTTTCCGTTTTTTCGCTGATGAAAAGCGGATGAGCGAGCCTTTTCTTTTTCACTTTCAAAAGTAAGTCAGCTTGCCCGATGATTGCTTGGTGAACAAACGTGCATGAGAAAGGTTTTCCATTTTTCCGCTAATGAAAAGNCTTTCAAAAGTAAGTCAGCTTGCCCGATGATTGCTTGGTGAACAAACGTGCATGAGAAAGGTTTTCCATTTTTCCGCTAATGAAAAGTGGATGAGCGAGCCTTTTTCTTTTTCTTTTTCACTTTCAAAAGTAAGTCAGCTTGCCCAACAATTGCTTGGTCAACAAAAGTGCATGAGAAAGGTTTTCCGGTTTTCCATGAATGAAAGCAGATGAGCGAGAAAGGTATCACGCATCCTGCTAGTGAAGGGGCTAGCTGGTAGGACAGAAATAGGGCATAGCAGCAGTAGAGATGGTGGCTTTGCTGCAGTAAGTCTTGCCGGAGTGGGGTGAGGAGGACTGTTGGTGGATTCCCGAGTCTTCTTCTGGTTTTTGTTTATCTCTGAATGTTCCTTACAAAAAAGCTCTGAAGTAGCCTCAGTATACGGTTAGTTTCATTGTCATGAAATTTTCTGATGTTTTTTCTGAAAAACAATTAAAAAAAAAAGAAAGCAGATGAGCGAGCCCTTTCTTCTTTCCCTTGTCCTTCAGGTTGTCCTTTTTCTCCGTTAATGTAATGAAGAGTGGATGAGCGAGCCTTCTCTTTTTCCCTTCAAACAAACTAGCCTTAGATAACACAGGGCATCATCCGGAATCTAAATGTGCCAATCTCCCTTTTTTTTTTCTTTTTTTTCTTTTTTCTTTTTTTTGTGGGGGGGGGAAATAGCCCTTTACGTAAGCCCTCTATTCCAGCGGTGGTAAGAGAACCGTCCGAATTGAGGGCTTATTTGTTGGGCTGCTCCATCTATTGGTGGTAAATGTGCCAATCTCAACAACCCAGTCACACTAGACACACCAAGCAGTATTGAGTAAACACGTACTAGGCCCTGTCTGCTCTATTCCACATCCACATCCAGTCGTCAGAAACTTTTTTTTCCCACCCAAGTGAAATCAAGCCTGACCTTGTGCAGGGGATTACATTGAACAGGCTGAGCTGTGGGATTCCAGCCATAATGGCTGCCACACCAGATGCTGCGCCCCTGTGTGTGCTCTGAGAGGCTCGTCGGGAGCATCGTACAAGACCACTTGCGCCTCCCCTTGGGTTGTACGGGCTCATGGGGGACGGGGGCAGTTCACAGCCAGGAGGCTGCACTTGTGTGGGTTCCATTTTCTTTGTTTCATTTCTTTCTATTTTCGGTAAGGTCGTGCAGTACAGCTTCGCTAGGACGGGGCCTCGTTTAGGGTCTCCGACAGCAGAAAATAGGGTCCGGTCGCAGTCATCCCTAAGACCTGTCGCAGGGCAGGTTATCTTGTCAAGGTCGTTGCAATTTAGTATAGGGCGTCGTCCATTGTTTCCCTTTTGAGGGATAGACTTTTTTCCCGTTTCAAACTGGGGGCGGGCGATATGGGTCTGGGCGGGCGATTTGGGTCTGGGTCGTTTCCTCTTTTGTTTTTTTTCTCTTCTACTGCATCTTCCCAGAAATACAGTAGCAAAGCATTCTGCTGTTTACTACGACCAAGTAACGAAATCTAGAACGGACTGCCCTGCCTCGTTGGCAGGGCTTACTAAGAAAAGAAAAAACGTATTGACTTTCGGAAAAAAAAAAAACAAAAAAAAAACGCACTTACCTTTGCCCGGAGAGCTGTGGAGAAGGGGGGCCTTGCTCCACTACTGCATGAATCTTTTGGTAGAACACAGGTAGATACACTGCTAGTAGTTTAGAGCTTGAAATGCCCTTTTTCCTGCCTGCGTGTGGGGTGGTACAGCCCTTTTAAAAAAAAAAAAAAAAAACTCAGTAGCTTGCTATTCGTTTTTCAGTTTTTTTTTTTTTTGTTTTTCCCTCCTGCCATACAATAATCTGGGTTCCATCCAGCGTCCTAGATCAATTGGTTAGGCACACAAGTGGCGGGGGGTTGTGGGCAATCCCCACGCCCGCCTGTGGCACTCCAGGTGCCAACCAACTGAGATAGTGAGCTGGATCCTCCCAGTCGGTATCAGTAAGGTCTTCAGCCAACACGGGCGTGAGGTGTGAGTGCGCGTGTGAGTGGGTTGCGTGTGGTGTGTGGGAGAGTGTTGGCTTTGGACACTACCATCCAGAAGGCTTCCCATCCCCCACTTCATAAGACCTTTGCAAGCTTACTGTCTAGAACATAAAGCATGCTACCCGAATGGCTGCGTCCCCATGTTTGACGCGGTATAACAGTACGAGGAGTGAACTCAGTAATTCCTGGACCATTGGCAAATATCTGTGCCATTGCAACCATTGTAATTATAAGCACCAAAAATGGGGGGGGGGAAAGGGGGGGGAGGAGGCCAGGGTTCACCACACTCATAGCAGACCTATGACAATTCCCCTCAGTGGCGTGTGACAGTGGTGCCTTGGCCTCCCGGCGTGTCACCTCGGGAACCCCGGAATCTGAGTTCAAGTATGGCGCACCCCACTGCCAGCGACCAAGTAGCACCGGTCTCCGTCGATGCCCCCCAGGTGGGTGAGTGTGAGGTTGAGAGTTCTCAGCTTGAGAGTCCCCTGTGTGAGTGGGTGAGTTCAATGTGCCGTTCGAAGTCTGAACCCGGTGTGTCCAGCCTCCTAACGGACAAACCCATCTGAAACCATCCTGGACACCCCCAGAACCCCTTTTAGAAATCAAGAGTCTTGTGAGTGGCGGATGGCCCAGTGGTTAGGGCACCGGTTGGAAATGCACATTGTGGTCTGAGGTTGCGGACTCAAAACCCCGTAGCCTCGTGCATAGGCCGTCCGCAGGGCGTTAGGTTGTCGCACTACCACTCACACACTGAGCGTGCACACGACCAGGGGGCACGGATGTACATAAAGATCCATAGACCTGACCTGGGGTCCACCTGAGAGGGTGCCTAGCAGATACTAGCCCCTGCACACTCCTGGGTCCTCCGGAACGGCGGTCCGCGCCTCCCCTTGGGGTTGCTGGAGGCCATGACGGGAGACGGCTCCGGGAGGGGCAGGCTCAGTGAGGACGAGTATGGGAGGAGCGAAGGGTTCACCCCGTTCCTAGCAGGATTGACTCTCATCCCCACAGCACCTGGTGATTGTGGTGCTTAGGCCTCCTGGCAGGGTGCGTCGGGGATGCAGGACCCTGATTTCGAAGGGGATGCATCAGCTGCGCTGCTGACGCAGCGACCTGGTAGCTCCGGTCCAGGCTGATACTCCCGCGTGTGAGTAGCAAGATCTCTCTTCTCCCCCTCCTCCGAGAGTCCTGGTCTTGAGTGATCCCTGAGTGAGTGGGTGGGTCCACTGTGCCCGACAGGTGGGCTGAACCCGACACGTGAAGCCCCCTGCCGGACCTCCTCCCTGGGTCATATCCCCGACAACCCACAACCTTTTTTAAAGACAGGAAACCAAGAGTCTCTATCTGCTGAAAGGTTGGGGACAGTGCAAAGGCTAATAGACTTGTCATGGCTAAAAGAAGGGGGGAAACAAAACTCATGACTGCCACTCATCAGACTTCGTCCCACCTATCCTCTCATAGAAGGGGGAAGCACAACCAGGGAGCTCAAGGAGCACAGAGCAGAAGCAGTCTTCAGAATAGCAAACGTAAGGTCATTGTAAGACGAACCGGAGTTTTATGAAAAAGGGGTGAAATAGAAGAGTCAGGTCTCGGAGATCAGAGAGCCAAATTTAGTTGAGGAGCAGCTCTACAGTACAGTAATTAAGAGTACCCGAAAGAATTTTCAGCGGAAGGAACAGGGGTGGAGCAGTGGCGAGTCCTTCTCAATAGGAAGCAAATTTGAGCAATCAATGCTGCTGTCTCACGATGTCTCGGCCATAACAGAGGGAAGCATCGAGTGCGAAAAAAATCACACAAGGGACGCTGGAAAATCATCACACTTTGTCACTTCTTCTTGCACACTGGGAACCATGGAGCGGCAGCAGTGCCAGCTCAATCTCATTTGATTGGAAGTGCAGCCGACGTCATCACCAGGTAGTCGGAGTGTCCAGCCAGTTCCGACGACACCCTATCACTTTCAGATCTTCCATCTGCTGCCACCTCACAGTGGGCCTGAACGAACCTTCTCGGAAACAGATTTGCAAAGAATCTCCCAGACTTGCTTGCCTCAATTTTGCCCTCTCAAACCCAGCCCATGTGGCTGAATGGTACACACAAATATAACTGTTAGTGAACAGGTCATGAGTTTGATTCCTGGCTGGGATCAGATAGGCACAATAAGGTTAGGGGATAACCCCTCATCATGAAACAAAAGAAAAGAAAAGAAAACTGTCCCCTCAGGGCCCTCAATGCAAATTACGTTCATGTGAAGGTTAGTGTAACGGATCATACCTTCTTCCAAAAGTAGTCTTCTAGCCTTGCAAGTGCCACAGTCTCACCTCCTCTGAACTGTAAGACAGCCCTTGGATCCTGTACCACAGAACCAATGGTGCAATAGGAACATACTTCAGCCATCAGGTACACGGGGACAAACGGCGGGGGGAAACAGGGGCGGGGCAGCATTACTGGTGCAACCGAACACAGGCCATGGCAGAACCATCCACCCCTACAGTTGGCCAATACGGTAGCAAGCACGACCTTGACGTAGACATAGGTGGGGAGATTGCCTGTGGTTTTCTGTTCGCAACAGGTTTGGCAGTGGCACTCAGGATATAACAGAGCAGTTCCGAGATCTCAATCCGCGATGAGAGGGGGGTAATCTCCTCCGATAATCAGTTTGTGGATATTGGCCTTCCAATTGGCGGTATTTGATAAGTAAATAGTGACGTCCTTTTCTTTCCCTTTGTGTTTTGCATTTTTCGTAGCCCTTGATGAAAGGCCGTGTTCTGTATTGTTCTTCGGATCTGGAATGGCGAAGCAATATTTTTTGGTCGCGGGTTGTTGACAAGTTGTTTGCCAATGTTTGGTGAAAGATTGGTAGTGGTTATGGAGCTTTCTTGTCTCCTCCTTGCTCTGCACATTTGTCTTCTTCCTCTTCCTCTTCCTCCTCTTCCTCTTCGTCTCCTTCCTTCTTCCATTCCTTATTTTGCATCTCTCTTCTCCTTTCTGTTCTCGTCTTTCTCCTATCCTTCATCCTTATTTCTCTTTTCTCACATGTTCAATACGATGTTATCTACTTCTTTGTCTTTTCTCGCACGTTCTATCAGATGTGATCTATCTCCAGCCTATCTTCCTTACATCTCCTCCCCTCCTCTCTTCGCTCATGCTTAATTCGTCTATGCAATGGGTGGACCAAGCAAAAAAGGGTGTATTGAACTGTATTCGTATCGAGGGCTATGCGAGCACGATAGTCATTGGCTAATCCTCATGACAAGCGGTGGTTCAGAGCACTTCCTGCTGAAGCATATGAATTGTGTACTACACACACACACACACACACACACACACACACACACACACACACACACACACACACACACACACACACAGCCATATATACACACACCACCATATGCCCCCGGTCAGTAGATCAGCATGTATGCTAGTCCAAAAACCGATAGACAGGAGACCACGTGCCAGGGTGGAAGACTCA